GTGTTGTTGGCAGTGCCTGTAGTCAAGAGATATCTATCTGTATATACATACATAGTAATACATGCTAAAGTAATAGCATAGTCATGTGCCAAAATATTAGCTTAGGTCAGAGAAGAGAATGGTAATACTTCAAAAGAGTATTATATAGATTAATGCTGTTTTTAAAAGATATATTGATAGAGGATTGTGGTTCTTCAAAATAATGGTACTATTAAATATTAAAACATTTTATAGTCTAGGTTAGAGGTATCAAACAGGATTTCATGGCAATACTTGTGACTAAACCAGATGAAAATGCAATTGGGAAGTATTTTTTAAAATTAAAAAAGTACATTAGAACATAGATAATGTTTATATGTGGTTTTCTAAGGTAACATGCATCCTGTAGGGATCTAAATTAAACAGTAGAGCTACTGGAGGCAGTTAGGTGGCACAGTTAACGGCGACTGGAGTTAACAAAGATCTGAAATCAAATTCAGCCCTAGACATTTCACAACTGTGACTTTGGGCAAGTCACTTAACTTCTGCCTTCTCAGTTGCTCCAGCTGTAAAATGGGGATTATAATAGCGCCTCCCTCAGGGTTGTTGTAAAGAACAAATGAGATAATATTTATAAGATGCTTAGCCCAGTGCCTTGACACATAGTAGGTGCCTAATAAATTACTGTTCCCTTCCCTTATTTTCTATTTTCTTATTCAATTATCATTTAGATTTTTACAAACTTTTGGAAAATTCACTCTTTAGCAATTAAAATTGGATAATCTGCATTTTAAAATAACTCAGCACCTCCTTTAGTTTGGGCACTGAAGTGTTATCACATGCATTAAAATTGATTCGACATGCTGTTGCTTTATGAATGATTGACTGTGAACCATCCACATTTCAAACCAATGTGAATGGTAACCTTTTGACTGAAGATGTCATATCATAAAGACATTAAACACATAGCTGTAGCTTTACACATATATGTGCAGTGCAATTTACTTTTATATTATGAATCAAATTGTTGGTAGTGTTGCATGATATTTTTACTTCCTTGATACCTGTGATTCCTGATGAGTCAAGATGATTATACTATAGTTTCCTTTATATAACTTGTGACTGTTTTCATCCGTTTTGAAATGTTACTTTTATGTGCCATTAAAATAATCAAAATAATTAATAATTAAAATAATTTGGAAACATTTTGAAAAGTTATTAGTCTGCATTTCTTAAACATTGTGGGGCTTTAGAAAAAAGACTGTTCTTTTCCTTAAGTAGATGCCAAAGTTGAGTTTTAACAGAATGATTAGATGAATTTATCTTTTTGTTTACATATGGGAACAGAGTCCTTAGAGGAAATTCTATACTTGGGCAACTTATCTTCAAAATAGAGGGGCATTCAAACAGAAGAACAATAAAATGTGTCTTTGTGTCCGGGAATTTGACTCTTAAACTCCACCCAGTTTACAGTATAAGACTCTTAACCAAATTATCTTGACTTAGATTGCATAAGAGACGCTAAGGTATTAAAATTTATATTCTTTCTTACCATTTCACTCCTATTTTCACTCATTTAGTGGAAATGGTCCCAATTTTGGAGCCAGAGGCTCTAAGCCACTTTTTTCATTTGCAAAAAGATGAGATTAAGGCTACTAGACCTGAGGTCCCTTCCAACTTTCAGTCTGTGATTATTTCCTGTGCCAAACATAGCTTATGTCCTCAGCATTCTTCATAAACCAGATTTATTAACGCTCTTTGTAAATGTAGATTCTTTTGTACTGTTATTTAGTTACATGGATCTACTTCCATCATATATATGTATAAGTATATATATGTATATGTGAATATATGTCCTTTTGTAATTTAAACTTCTAAGTTTTTAGTCAACAAGGAAGCATTTAGTAACCTCCAATAGATAACATTTTTTAAAAAGTGTTAATAAAACCAGAATGATTGGTGGTTTATGAATAATCACAGTACTGCTATTCCAAATACGGTACTTTGGAAATTAGCTTTTGTTGCAGATATCATAGTATTTTTTAATGATTTCAGACTAAAGTTACAAGGCAAAACAGTATTTATCTGCAAAAGTTGTACCACAATAAAGTCAATTTGATGAAAATTCAGGTTGAGTAACAAGTAATATCAAGCTGCCCTGTATACTTCTGTGCTGTCAGAAGTTAAGAAAAGAGTTGAAATCTCCATTTCCACACATTTGTGCAAATAAAATTTCTAAACTCACACAGCTGTGGTTTTTTGGATCTCACTGCAAGTGCAAAAGACATTACCATATTTTAAAATTCATTTAACTGTGCAATTGAGGTACTACCACTTAACCTTCAATTGGATATGATGAATGTGTAGTGTAAGAATGTGTTGACAAGTAAATATCAAGAGAAGAGTAATATAATTCTGTAAATGCCTTTTAAGTTACAAATATGCTGAATTAAAATTATGCAAAGACAATTTCAAGTGTCAGGTGAAATATGTAAAATCTCATTACAGGATGGTATTAACAGATGAACATTTGCGTTCAATTTTGATGATGAGAAAATCTAACTTCAAACACTAATGAAGCAAAATGTTCTTACGCCAAAAGTACATTTTTTAACAGGTAGACCTGTACTACAAAAATTGTGCTCAGTTACTATCATTATTATTATTATTATTTTGAATTTTGTCCAAAAATTTGTGGAAATATTTTCCCCTAGTTATATAAGGACCTATTTCAAAGGACTACATTATATAATAGTCTTGGGTTTTGCTTTTTTGACTCATAATGCCTAAAATATTTACTTTCTGGTCCTTTACAGAATAAGTTTGCCAACCCCTGGGATAGAGAGCTGGTCTTGAACCCAGAACTTGTGTTCAAGGCCTGCCTTTGGCATTTGTTGCCAGCAAACCACTTAATATCTCAGTGCTAAGGCAGTTGCAGAGAAGGTGCTGACTTACCTTGGGAGGCTTCTTATGCCAGTGAAACGACAGATCCAGGCCCTATTCCTATTTCTAATTGTCTCTTTAAGCTATTCTCTTCTACACATTTTGTAGTGGTAGGATTTTAGCTGGGCCCTAAAGGAAATTTGGGAAGCCAGGAACTAGAGATGAGGAAGGAAACATTCTGCGCATGGGGGCAGTCAGTGAAAATGCATTGTTGTTTGATTGTTTCAGTTGTGTCCAAATCTTTTGACTCTATTTGAAGTTTTCTTGGCAAAGATACTTGAGTGTTTTGCCATTTCCCTTTCCAGCTCATTTTACAGAGGAGGAAACTGAGGCAATGGGGTTAAGTGCTTGCCCAGGGTCATGTAGGTGAGCGAGAGAGTATCTGAGGCCAGATTTGAACTCACAAAGATGAGCCTTCCTGACTTCTGATGGGAGTGAACTGGTAAAATAAAATGTTGCAGTATTTCTCTTTTCCTTTACAAAGGCAAAAAAATTATATAGACTGTTGCTCAGAAGAGTTCTTTTCCTCCTGTGTACTCCCATGCCTTCTGGGAAGTTGTTTCTTTCTTGTCAAAAAATGGATTAGACCTAAATGTCCAGAGATACTGTAAAGGGAATTCATGTTTTAGGTAAAAGTTAGATTTGATGACTTTTCAAGTTGTTTCTGGTTCTAGGATTTCATAATTATACTTGAAAAATCAAAATTAAAATTAGAGCCTAATTACATATGATTTTGAGAAAACAATTATCAATGTGTTATGTATTTTGGTATCAGTTTTATATTATAAAATTTCCCTGTAATTTTATAAGACCTTAAAAAAATGAGCAAACTTGTTATAGTATCTCAGAAATAGTGTAGCCTAAGAAGTCATGTATTAACAAAACTTGTTTCTAGATCAGGAGTTCTTACCCTAGGATTCGTGAACTTTTTGTTATTTTGATAAATGTATTTTGTTATAAATAGTTTGCTTTGTAACCATGTGTATTTAATTTTATGCATCTAAAAACATTGTTCTGAGAGAGGCTCAGACTACCATAGGAATCCATGCATGACTCCAAAAAAAAAAGCTTAAAAATCCATGTTCCAGGAGAGGAGAAGACTTAATGGAGCAATGGAAAGAGCCTTGGATTTGGAGTCAGAAGGCTTTGTTTTGAGCCCTTTCTCTGGCTATTTCACTAACAATGTGAACTTAAGCACATTGTTAGTAAGTGACACCTTGAACAAGTCTTTGTTATGAAATTATGGGGTTTTTGTTTGTTTGTTTTTGCTCTTTTTGGTGAGGCCGTTGGGGTTAAGTGACTTGTCCAGGGTCATACAGCTAGTAAGTGTTAAGTGTCTGAGGCTGTATTTGAAGTCAGGTCCCCCTGATGCCAAGGCCAGAGCTTTATTTACTGTGCCACCTAACTGCCCCATGAAATTATGTTTGGGGAAAAAACAACAACAACAACAAGAAAACCCTGTTTTTTTCACCCTTATATTCTCTAAGTATTTGAATACCTCCCTATACAAGCACATAGGAGAAGGGAAGTGGGACACTGGTTATGAGCATGTGTTGTATGTTTGTTTGCTTTTTTTTGCTGATAACTAGTATGTTGGGCTTCATAAAGTAGTCCTTTAATTTCAGCTCTGGATTTGTTTTTCAGGAAAAGTAAGAAGTAAGACTTTGAAATGCTAGGCAGGACCGTACTTGTCTCGTTACTTAGGTTTGACACTAGCTCACTGACGGTACATTTTTAGTTTTAATTTATATTACGTAACTTCAGCACTCTTTAAAAAAATTTTTGAAATATTTGATGAAAATATTTTAAAACTTGTGGTATATGAGCTTTATGTGGAATCCTCTCTGCTCATGTGCCTGACAGATATTTGCTATTTTTTCATTGCTAAGAACAGCAGGAAGTTGAACTTCTGATTCTGCTTTTTGGTGTTAAAAAGTGTTGTGAAAAAGTTATGACCAATGAAAGGAGACTGTATAAAAAAGATTGAGACTAGGAATGGAAGAGCATTTGAAAACTGTAAATTAAAAAATCATTTTTGACTAAAATTTTACATGAGTTTTTTTCCTTTTCTTTCTTAGGCAGGAGTGCAAGTTGGGAGATGCTGCTTGCAAAAACTCTGAATCTGATCCAGAGGAATTTTCAGATGAAACAAATACGGAAAACCTTTATGGCACCTCTCCTCCCAGCACACCTCGACAGATGAAACGTATGTCAACAAAGCACCAGAGGAATAATGTAGGGAGACCTTCTAGCCGCTCCAGTTTAAAAGGTGTGTCTTTTACTTGAAAGGATATATTCAAAAAGATGTAGAGCTTACCAATACTTCATCTTTAGAAAACATTCATTTGTTGATTCTTTATCTAGAATGCATAATTCTAATGTTGCCCTGGCCTTTTCTGTTTTCAAGCTAAGGGGAGAAAGGGTTCCTATTCCCTTGGCCATTGTTTCAAATTGTTGTATTGGTGGGTGATGGGTTCTTTAAATCCCTTTTTTTCCCTGATATTTATTCTTATTTCTTCTGGCACAGAAAAGAGGCTTGTAGGATCTCTGATAAGTATGACATGGTATTTCCATCTATGCCAACTTTTCACAGGAGAGTTCTAGAACTATCCCTTTGTACTATTTTCCTCCCTAAATTCTTCCAGCTCAGGACCTTATAGTGTAATCCATACCAACCTCAGGATAGTAGAGCTCTCTTTTCTTAATTCTAAAGAGTAAACATTGTGTTCTAGCGTAGGCATCCAAATTCCTTGTTGTCCCCTTGGTAGGGGAGTCCAGTCACTCAATAAGCATTATTAAATGCTTATTAAATTTCAGGGACTGTGCAAAGTGCAGGGGATACAAAGATCAAAACTGAGACAGTCTCTGCCCTTAGAAACTTAGATTCTCTTAAAGGTATATAAATGTATACCTACAGTATAAGTACACACTGAATAAATACAGCATAGTTAAAAATACAGGGTATTTAGTGGGGGGGGGACACAAGTAATTTAGAGCATCAGAAAAGATTTCATGTGGAAGGTAGTGATTTAGCGGAGCAAATCATTTAATAATTTAAAAAAGGACAAAAAACCATCTAGATCCCCTCTCCCCCCATTTTCCCTAAGTATTTGAATACAGCCCTATATAAACAAATAGGAGAAAGGGAGTAGGAGAATAGGAGAAGGAGATTCTCTAAGGCAGAGGTGAGGAAGGAATACATTCAATCAATAATCAGTAAACATTTTTTAAGCACCTATTATATGCCAGGGATAAGGGATGGACAGAAAGTAGGTAATGGAATGCCATATTTAGGGAACAAAGAGAAAGCTGATTTAGCTGGACAGTAGAGTTTGGGAAGGGTAATAGTAACAGTAATGAGGTTAGAAAGATAAGTTGCAATTATCTGCTGCTACACTCCTGATCTGCAGCTTCTTGAGGGAAGAGGAGAGGTAAGATGGGGCCCTCCACTGACCAGGTGCGGTCCAATAGCTTTGCTGTCTGTGTGCCTTCCGTCTCATGCTATATGTGTCTCTGAGAAGAGGAGAGGCTTTCCATCTTGTAGCTCCCATCTCTTGCCTGATCTCCAGTCTCCAGTGGGGGTAGGAGCCTCTAGAGGGAAGAGGAGAGGAGAAATGAGAGGTCTTCCATCTCATGCTGCTCATGTGTCCAGCCTCTGCTGGTAGAGGAGAGGCTCCTTTCACTTAATGATTAAGAAATTCACACCTGGTCATTTGCTAACATATCCTCTGTAAGTCATCATCTAAACCCTGTTCCTTGTTTTCCACTACCGATACCTTATTCTCTTTCTCCTCAACCCACTCACTCTAACATCCCGCCTAAATGCTACTTAGTTATTCAGCCCTCTGAAATGTCTGTTCCATAGGCAACAAATTTGCTCTCATCTTACATCTTTTCCTTTACCACTCCTTCCATTTGCTGGCTGTTGCTGAGACCTGGCTTCTCTGTGATGACACAGCCTCTCTGTCCACCCTTTCCAGCACTGGCTGCGTTTTCATTCATTCCTCTCAGCTAACTGGTTAAGGGGGTGCAGTGAGAATGCCCCTTGCTCTCCATTGCTACTTCCAGGTTCTTCTACCTCCTTCACTCTGTTTGAAGTCCACATCTTCCACCCAATTAAAATCGTGGTAGCTGTTGTCTTGCAGACCTCCAGAATATTTTCTTCCTCAGTGGGTTCAGTATGTGGCTCATAATTTTTCCTTTACATCTCTTGACCTCATACTAGTGGACTTTAACATGCCTATTGTTATTCCCCTAAATACCTTAATCTCCTTTCTCAACCTGCTGATTTTCCATGACTTACTCTTCCATCCTGCTTTGGCCATACACAGAGGTCACATCCTTGATCTTGCCATCACAGACAAACGTATTACCTCTCTGTTAAAGAACTCTGAAATTCTGTTACATAATCACAATCTATTGCCTTTGCGTTTCCCTTTGCCTTCTCATGCCAAACCCTACTGTTTATCTCACCGTGACTTCTATCCCTCATTTTTCTCCCAGGCCTTCACCCCTGCATTACCTTTCTCTTCTTTCCGCACTTGACCCCTTGGTGAACCAGTTCCACTACACACCGTCCTTTTCTCTTGAATCCTTGGCTCCCTTATGAGTTCACTAGTTGTGGCACATTAGTAGTGTGCCAAACTTCAGCCTTGGATCGCAAACTGCCTTTGCTCCTACACACGTGCTGTTGGAAGTAGGTGGAGAAAATCATACTATGGTTCTAACTGGATCCATTACAAATTAATGTTATAAAACTGCACGTGGGCCCTGACTGCTGTTAGGCAGTCCTTCTATACCTCCTTCATCAATTCAGTATCCCACTCTCCATAGTGGCTCTTCCAAACCTTTTTATTCCTCCTCAAACACCCATGGCTTCCCAGTTGCTAGTTCTCAACTGAGAACTTTACCTTGTATTTTACTGAAAAAATTGAGGCCATTTACCAAGAACTCTCTCTTCTCCCCTCTTCCTCATCTCACATCACTTTTATCTTTTACCTCTGTCTTACCTGAGTAGGCTGCCCCTTCTTTCCAAGGCGAATCCCTCTACATGCACAAAGGATCTCATTGTATCCTGTCTCCTCCAGCAGACTGACTGTTCTGTCATTCCTGCTCTGTCACTTATCTTCAGTCTCTCCCTGTCGTTTGGCTGCTCCCCTATATTGCCATAAAACATGCCCATGTCTATTCCATCCTCAAAAAAAGTGTCACTTGATTTCTCCATCTCTGATAGATTGTCTTCTTTAGTGCTTTGTGAATAAACTAGTTGAGAAGGCTATCTACAATGAGTGCCTCCACTTCCTGTCTTCTCATTTGAGGGGTGGGGTAGGCAGTGGGGTTAAGTGACTTGCCCAAGGTCACACAGCTAGTAAGTGTTATGTGTCTGAGGCCAGATTTGAATTCAGGTTCTCCTGACTCCAGGGCCGGTGCTCTATCCACTGCACCACCTAGCTGCCCCCCTTTTCTCATTCTCGGTTTAATACTTTACAGTCTGGTTTCTCACCTCATTATTTCACCAAAGCTGCTCTCTTCAGAGTTACTGGCCATCTCTTAGTTGCCACAAATCTAATGACCTTTTTTTAAAAAATTTTATTAATTTATTTTGATTTATCAACAATCACTTACATATGCTTTTGAGTTGAAAATTTTTCTGCCCCTTTCTCTCCCCCACCCTCCCCAATATGGTGCACAATCTGACATAGGCTTTACATTTACATTCCTAGTAAACATATTTTCACATTAGTGAAGTCGTAAGTAACAATTAAAACCAATAGGAGGAACCATCAGAAAGATGAAACAAAACTCAACAGAAGGTAAAAATAAGTGATAGCGATTGGACTTCCATAGTTCTTTCTTTGGATGTGGACAGCATTTTCCATCCCGAGGCCTCTGGAGGTGTCTTAGATCCTCATAGTGCTGAGAAGGGTTCAGTTTAACAATCTTAGTCATCGCATAATGTGGCTGTTATTGTGTACCAAGTCCTCTTGGTTCTGCTCACTTCACTCAGCCTCAGACCATCTAAGTCTTTCCTGGTTTTTCTGAAGTCTGCTGGCTTACCATTTCTTATAGCACAATAGTATTCCATTACATTCATATACCACAACTTGCTCAGCCATTCCCCAATTGATGGGCATCCCCTCAATTTCCAACTCTTTGCCACCACAGAAAGAGCTACTCTAAATATGTTTGTACATGTGGATCCTTTTCCCTTTTTTTGGATCTCTTTGGAATATGGACCTAGAAGTGCTATTGCTGGGTTAAAGGGTATGCCCATTTTTGTAGCCCTTTGGGCATAGTTCCAAATTGTTCTCCAAAATGGTTGGATCATTTCACAACTCCACCAACAATGCATTAGCGTTCTGATGTTCCCACATCTTCTCCCACATTTATCATTTTCCTGTTTTGTCATGTTGGCCAGTCTGATAGGTGTGATGTGGTGCCTCAGAGCTGTTCTGATTTGCATTTCTGTGATCAGTAACGATTTAGGGCATTGTTTCGTATGACGTTAGATGGCTTTCATTTCTTCATCTGGGAACTGTCTGCTCATACCCTTTGACCATTGATCAGTCGGGGGTCTGATGGCCTTTTGTAACACTCATCCTTCTTGACTTCTTTGCCGCTTTTCGCCCTGTCGCCCACTGACAAGCTGTGGCGTTTGTCCTGGCCCCATTTCTCTCTTCCCTCCGCACTGCTTCACTCGGTGATTCTGGCAGGTCCAGCAGATTTAGTCAGCGTTTAGATGCTCGTGATTCTGCAGTCTGCTTATCCAACCCTTCTCTGTTGGCCTCCGCTCTTGAATAGTCAGTTGCTCTTCAGGCCGTTCCGTAAGCATCTTAAGCTCAGCCCATCCAGGACTGAACTTGTCACCTTTCCCTCTGAGCCCTTCTTCCTCCACACCCTCCCTGTTACTGTCTACAACATCACCATCTCCCTAGTTCCTCAGGCTCACAACCTAGATCTTAGACTCTGCTCCTTAGTATCTCTCATCCAGTCTTTTGCCAGTGCCTGTCGGTCTCACCTGTAACGTCTCTGGAATACACCTCCTTCTTTCTGACGCTGTGAACGTTCCGCTGCAGGCCCTCATCGTCTCACGCCTAGGCTGTTGCAAAAGCTAGCTGGTTGGTCTCCGGAGGCCTGCTCCTTTATGATCTTGCTCTGGGACAGGTACCTCTTACCAGAGCATGTTCTGCTGTGGTTGTGCCATGTGGCAAAGGAGTGTGTTGATTCTGTGTAGCCATCAGTAACTATCCCAAGGACAGACATATTACT